CATATAATAATTATAAATTGCAATAGCCGTAGGGTAATGAACCATAAGAGTTCTCGCGTCTTCGTTTATCAAACGTTTGTTTGCACGTTTTACGTTCTGTACTTGTTACAACATTATGAAACTTCGTACGTTTGATAGCGTCAAAACAAAGTACTATTGAAATATCTAGCTCATTTGTAACAAGTTCCCTAACAGAGCGGTAATTAATCAATTTATTGTTCGCAAAATTAAGAGTTACACCTTTGGCTTTGCAAACCTCTGTAGTACTACCATCGGGCTTACGTACAACAAATGCATAAAATTTTGGACCAGCTGAAACAAAAGATTCGATATAACTACCCTCACCATAACACGTCAGCTCGTTCGTCAAATCACCCAGCAACTTACCCGTTGGTGGGTCATAATCATTCGGAGAATTACCACTCACATATATACATGAATCTGTATCGCAACATAATGCTCGGTTTCCAAGACGCTCGAGATACTCATATAATTTAAGACGAGCTTGAACTGTTGTGAATGCGGCTATTACAACATTTGTTATGGGTGATGATGTTAAATTCTCATCTCTGCATATAGGTATAACTAACATATAAAACGTCATCATTAATAGGTAATATACTTGTAACATTTATCTCATTACTGGAAAGTAATTGTATCAATCTGTTACGTGTTGTTACAATTTCAACTTTAGGTAAATTCTCGCGTTGACCAAACTTACCCCAAAACGAATTTAAACATAATTTTGAAACAGCACGAAGCCCCGGATTAATATATATTTTTTGCGGATCTAATTTAATACCTTCCATTTGCTCATATTCATCTATGTATCGCATTTTTAACTCTTCATTATCAATACAGTCGGAAGGCCAACTGCTGGCTTCTAGCTTAATTTTTAAAAAAGTATTTATGTACTCTGTGAAATGACCCCCTTCTTTGGTTTCAGGATTATATTGAGTCATTTCATATTGCCAAATTTCATAAATATTCATAATTTTATATCCAACGCTTACGGCTTTACGTATTTCATTAGCTACCCATGTACCCGTAAATTCGCGATCCACAGTATCTTCGTGTATACAATCCTCTTGATACATATTTTCACAACACGAACGACATAAAGCAAACATTAATTTACCATGCATTCGTACAGGTAATACAGGATGATAAAGCATACGTGGTGGTAATATCGTACAATAAACGAGCCCCTCCACTTTATCAATCTCGACGCCTGAAGATCCCGTTAATTTGCGACATTCTTCACCAACATATATTGTCGGATGTTTTACGGAGAATTTTCCTGTTTTACAGATATACGTGTAAAGAGAATACACATCGACATAATGTATTTTTTCATTACCCTTTACATCATAAAGAGACACCATGTTCTCTGTACGACCTCCATAAAAGGCATCGCGAGGGTTTAACGGCTTTCGCGAAACTTCAGGCCAATTTTCTAAAAATATTCGCATATCCTCTCTAGATATTAAAGTACGATCAAAATCACATTCCCATATTTCCGTTAAAATATATCCAGCAGATTCAATCTTTAATAAACTGTGTACGTTCCAAACGAGCATCCATCGTATCAGTACCAATACCATAGGTTCTATTTACAGTATAACAACGGGGGCATCCATGCCAATAGCATCCATGAAATTGCAAAACATGTTTGATCACCGCACCGTCAATAATTTCTTCGTAATACCCATCAACAAGAACACCTTCGGGTAATCGTGTTTCGCGTCCGTTTCCCGCATGAGCTATGATATGACCCAACTCATGTTCCATCCAAGTTAACCACGAAATAGCTTTACGCGATTGATTCTGACCCCAGCGGTAGCCACCCGTAGGTATAATACCTATCATATTTTTTTGAAGAAAATTTTTACGATAAACGCGAGAACAAGCTGATGCTATTGTTGTACTCTACTCAAAAGGACAAACATTGCCGCATTTGATAAACATTCTGCGAAAAGCTAAACAAGAGCGCCGCAATATTGTCACATCATTCTTGCAATAGCTCACAATTTCTTTCTTAAAATGGAATATATAATTCGAACGTTTTGTCTTATTATACCAAAGTAAGAAACGTTCACGCTCATCGCTTCGCATATAATCGCTTGAATAGTATTTTAAATCTGGGGGTCGATTGTGTATTTTTGACGACTTTCCTCACCTCTCGAACTTTCATCTCACATGAAAAAATACGTGCGATTGACTATGAGCATAGTGAAAATGCGATATCCCTATGCTCACTAGAGTGAAAATTACAGATGCGAGTACGGTTGAATGAATAGCATAACCTTAATTGTAGAAAATGGTAGAAAGTTCCGAGACTTCCGAGTTCTATCCCATTCTATCCCAATTATTATATTATCCAAAATTATATTGTGATTTCCAAAGGTGGGTTAGAATTGGCCAGAATTATCCGAGAGCTAACGTTTCAATTGCATGGAGATACAATGAATGTTACGGAAAAGCAAAAAGAAATGTTGATACAATTCATGGAATAGCATCCTGACTTTGGTCGAGGTCGTTTAAGATATAACAAGGAAAATAAACGAAAAATTGTAAGTATTATTATGATTATTAATCATATTTCTTACAAGTATGTTTCCACAAATAATATTCTTATAAGTTTTGTTTTTATATATGTTATTTGAATTCAGTATACTGAAGTATACTTAAATTTTTTTTAGGATGAACTTTGGGAAAAATTATCTTCTTCTTTAAACACATCAGCATATGGACCACGCAAGTCAGCAAAAGAATGGGCTAAGGTAATTTTTATTTCATTATGGGTGCATTCCGTTTCATGCTTGATGTGCATAATGCATCACTTATCCTTCTTCAACATTTGGCGAACAACAAAGAGAAATAATGCATTATGCGCATTATGCGTGAAACGGAATGCACCCTATATAATATGTATGTTTTAACAATGTATCAATATATGAATTTTTGAGTAGAGATGTGCAAACTATTCAAATACGAATAATTCGATTCGTATTCGAATAGTTTGTATGTACAATACATTTCTCTAATGCCAGCTTTGACTTAAGTAAAGAGTTGTAATGTGATAAAATAATGCAAAAAAAGATCAAAATTTAAAAATTTCGTGATTTAGATTTCATAAAATGGTGTGTAAATCTATAATAGAGATGTGTAAATTATTCGAATACGAATTCGAATAGTTTGCACGTCTCTACTTTTAAGTTAACCTTTAAACTATGTGATTGTGTGAAATTATTATTTATTGCTTATCATCATATTTTTTATAGACATGGAGAGACTGGAAAGCTAATACCTTAAAAAAGGTTGCAAAGCACAAGATCTACATGATGGGAACAGGTGGAGGATCACCAAAAGATTTGCAGTTATCTGGATCAGAGAATGCCTTATTGAATTTTTTAACTCCAGACGCTAGTGGTTTAAGAGATATTTCAGAAGGTGGATTTACAGATGTGACTCCAAGTTATGATGAAACTTCGAATTCATTTGCTATCATCTAATATTGAAGAAAAAGAAGATGAAGTATTTTTACTTGGAATGATACAATGATGACATCACATGAAATGTATTCTTCTGAACAAAATACACAGAATATGCGATCATGTATGTCATTAAATAGTAACATACATCCAATTGAAAATAATAAAAATGAGGTATATTTTACAAATTTTATTTAATTATCACCATTTTGTTAATTAGTTTAAAAATATAAATTAGTAAATTTATTATATCTTCTTTTTAATTATTAAGAATCAAATAAAACACATTCACAACAAGATAATAAAGTAAATAATTCTTTAAAACAGAAGAAGCGCTTTATTCAACAAAATCCAAAGGTAAATAAATGTGAAACAAGTGTTCCATCATTACACAATATGAGGAGTATATACCAAATTAAAAATAAGGAAAATTGGGTATGTATATGAAATTTATTTAGGCACGCATTATAATATATTATTTTTTATAAATATAGATTAATATATTGTAGATTTAACTTTATTGTATTTTACTTTACTATTTGCAGGAACACGGCAAAACAACATGTGCATTATCTTTAGATGATACAGAGAATTATATCGCAAATCATTCAAAAGGTATACAAAGTTTTTTTTAATAAAATATATTAATATCATTAAAATAAAATATGGACTCCCACTAACAAATTGCTTGAAAACGTTAAAGAGGCATTAGTAGTCGGTGCAGACAACAGTGCGCAAAGTGTTAACAGTAAATGGGTGTCTAGGTGTTCGCCGTCGACGAAATAAGTGTCTAGGTGTTCGCCGTCGACGAAATAAGTGTCTAGGTGTTCGCCGTCGAGGATATGGGTGTCTAGATGTTCGCCGTCAAGGAAGTAGGTGTCTACGTGTTCGCCTTCGAGGAAATGAGTGTTTAGGTGTTTGTAAGAAACAATGTGTCGTCGTCGCCGTCGTCATCGTCGCCGCCGTCGTCGTCGTCGCCGTCGTCGTCGTCG